TCTTAATGGAAATCACAGAACTAGCCTCCTTCCTTCAGAAAAGCAGTTTTCTCTTTTGGAATCAAAAAACATCACAGACTAAGGAAACAACTACATTATCCAATTCACAGTGATATAAGATGATCTCATTTAATATGTTAAAAGGTATCAGATAAAGTAACTTTTTGGAACAAGAAGTAACTCAGATTTAGAGCATTTTATTAGCAAGGTATTTTAATCTTTCTCGTAGTTTTTGTTGCATAAGTGTCACATACCTTTAAAACTATGTTACAGTCAGCCCTCCATATCCAGGAGCTCCACATATGTAGATTTCACCAACCACAGATCAAAAATATCTGAAAAAAAAAAATGTGTCTTTACTGAGTATGTACAGACTTTTTTCTCTTGTCATTATTCCCTAAACAATACAGTATAGCAACTCTATACATAGCATTTATATTGTATTAGGTATTATAAGTAATCTAGAGATAATTTAAAGTATACGGGAGAATGTACATAGGTTGTATGCAAATACTACATCATTTTATATCAGGAACTTGAGCATCTGTGGATTTTGGTAGGTGAAACAGGTCCTGGAACCAGTCCCCTCAGATACCAAGGGACTACTGTATTTATTTTCAACTAGATTGCTTAAATATAGACTGTGTTCTTCAGCTAGCAGATTCTGAGGAATGGAGGAAAACAGAGTTTATATTTTTTTAAGATAATTCATTGATTTTTAAACATTTATGGAGCTGATCCTGGCAATTATTTATTTGTAGGTCATTCTTTTTACTTCAAAGGATTTTTATGAGGATATGAGGAAATTTGGATTAAATGCTTTACATAGAGAATATATGTTACTTCATAATAAAAATGTAAATAAAGCAATAGGTATGGGGAGTCCTTTTTATTTTTAGTCAACACTGGGTCAAGTACTTTGGGTACTCATATGTACTCTCAGAGAGTTTACAGTTCAGATGGAGAGAAAACCTAACGTTTATGCAACACCAGTACACATTGTAAGACAAGGTAAAATTATGTGCCTATTTACAAGGTACAGGCTACCAACAATGTAGAAAGAAGTACAGAGGCAAAAGGAAGAAGGAGAGACATAGTTTCCCGTAAGGATCCCAGATGAAGATGGGTTGGAGAATATTGAGAGAAAGGAGCCCCCATTGATAGAAGCCAATATAAGAATTTTCACAGAACTAGGGGTAGCCTTTAGATTTCTTGGGATTTTTTATGTACACAATCATGTTGTCTGCAAATGGAGGCAGTTTGCTATCTTCCTTTCTAATGTATATGCCTTTTATTTCCTTTTCTTATGATATTGCACTGGTTAAAAGTTCTAGCACTGTGTCAAATAAGACTGGTAAGACCTGACATCTTTGCCTTGTTCCCAACCAGGAGCAAAGCTTTGGCCTTTCATTATTAGCCATAATGTTGCTGAAAGCTTTTTTACATGCTGTTTATCAATTTCAATTCTTTTAAAATTTGTTGACATTTTATGACCTAGAATATAGTCTGCCTTGGTATACCTTCTGTGACACTTGAAAAGAGTATGTATTCTGCCGTTGTTGATTGGATTGTTCTATAAATGTTGATTATATCCTATTGCTTGATAGTGCCACTCAGTTCTATATCTTTGCCGATTTTCTATCTAGTCATTCTCTCAATTTTTAAGAGATGACTGTTAAAGTTTACAAGTCAATTGTGGATTTATCTATTTCTCATTTTATTTCTACCAGTTTTTGCTTCACATGCTTTGTAGTTCTACAAAGCGTGTAGAGCCTGCTGTTTGGTGCATACACATTTAGGATTGCTATGTCTTCTTGACAGATTACCCTTTATCATTATATAATGTCTTTCTCATTCTCTGGTAATTGTCTTTGCTCTGAAGTCTGCTTTCCCTGAAATTAATATAGCCACTCCTGCTTTCCATTGACCAATATTTTCATATTATGTCTTTTTTCATTCCTTTGCTTTCAATTTGCCTGTATCATTATATTTGAAGTAAGTTTCTTATAACAGCATATAGTTCGGCCATATTTTTAAATTCATTCTGTCAATCTCTGTCTTTAAATTGGTATGTTTGGGCTATTTACATTTAATATATTCATTGATACGTTGGGGGTTTAAATCTGTGTATGTGTTTTTTTTTTTGTTCACTAATTTTTGCAGCTCTGTGCAGGGGAGGAGCAGGGTTTGGTCCTCTATCTTCCTATGGATTACTTGAACATATTGTAGAATCCCACTTTGATTTATCTTGGTGTTTTTGAGTACATCTCTCTATATGGCCTTTTTAATGGTTACTGAAACTATTAGTGTGGATTTGGCCTCATTACTGCTGGGTGATGTAGAAAGTCCTAACTCTCCACTAAGCCTCCTCTGACACCATCCCAGTGGGAGAGGAAAGATATAATTCATTACAGCCAGGAGGGGATGGAAGTCCAGGCTTCTCATGTGGTCACCACTGATACCGCAGTGGTGGTGGTGGTGGTGGTGGTGGCAGTGGGGGATGGATGAGGGCTCATTACCACCCTCTGGGGATAAAAATCCCAGCTCCCAGTTTGTCTCTGACATCACCCTGGTAGGAGATGGAGCCTTGAGGGGTCCATCATGGGATGCCTCATTACACTCTGTCAAGGGTAGAAGTCTAGGCTCCCCATTCTGTCTTTGGTGGTAAGGATGAGGTCGTAGTTTTTTCTGTGGTGGTGGCTGCAGTCAAGTGGTTATTGTCTGAAAGGTTTTAGTCTTACTAGGCTTCCTCTTTCTTGGTCATTTTGGTAGAGAGAGCAGACTTTTATTGGGGCTTTTTTGGTCTGCTTCCATTGGCATTTCCAGGTAGCTGCCTTCTTCAGCTCTTAGTCTGGGATAATGGGGCAAAGAGATAACCCAGGGAGTTTGCCATGGAATTATTCTTGGTCCCTAAAATCCCTAGCTGGTCTGCTATCTTCTCTCCACCTGTCAGAGTCTTTCTATTTTTCAAAATACGTAATGTCTAGGATTTTTCACTGTACTTCGCCAGAGGGAGAGGGAACAGTGTAACTACTACAGCTATCTTCCTAGAAGCAAAGATCCTATAAATATTATTTAATTAATGACAATTTAATTGTTCATTTTCAAAGGCCCTGTTAATCTGCCTGCTATTTTTCAGTACCCCATTGGGTAGGCTTTTTTCCTCATGCTGCACACTTAAAAGTATACATATTAGGCTGGGTGCCGTGGCTCACGCCTGTAATCCTAGCACCTTGGGAGGCCGAGGCAGGTGGATCACCTGAGGTCAGGAGTTCAAAACCAGCCTGGCCAACATGGCAAATCCCCATCTCTACTAAAAATACAAAAAGTAGGCAGGCATGGTGGTGGGTGCTTGTGATCCCACCTACTCAGGAGGCTGAAGCAGGAGAATTGCTTGAACCTGGGAGGTGGAGGTTGCAGTGAGCTGAGATTGTACCATTGCACTCCAGCCTGGGCAACAGAGAGAGACTCCGTCTCAAAAAAAAAAAAAAAAAAAGTACACATATTAGTCAGGGTTCTCCAGAGAAACAGAACCAACAGGATTATATAAAGAAAGAGATTTAGTCTAAGGAATTGGCTCATGTGATTATGGAGGCTAGCCAGCCCAGCCCTAAGATCTTCATGGCGAGTTGGCAAACTGGAGATCCAGGAGAGCTGATAGTTTAGTGCTAGTCCAAAGGCCTTAGAACTAGAGAAGATGATACAGTTTTAGTCTAAACATGATAGGCCTGAGATCCAGGAAGAGCTGATGTTTCAGTTCAAGTCGAAAGGCAGGAATAATTCTCCCTTATTCAAGGATGGGTCAGTGCTTTTATTTCAACCACTTGGATGAGGCCCACTCACACTATGGAAATTAATCTGCTCTATTCAGTCTATCAATTTAAAAGTTAATCTCTCTAAAAACACCCTCACAGCAACACCCAGAATGTATGACCAAATATTAGGGCACCCCATGGCCCAGTCAAGTTGACATATAAGATTTACCATCACAGTATGCAAACATTTAAAAGCTCGGGCCTACCAAACTGGTTAAGTTGGACCTAAATATGAACTCTGACAGAACATGTTCACAAATTCACATTTGAGGCTCACTTTGAGATATACAGAGAAACTCAAGGGAATGAGTAAAGTCTTTGATAGATCAAAAATTTGTTTAAAGGAAGCAAACACTAAAACCTGAAAGGCAGTGTGATATTAGGAGAAATAAGAACCTTCTGGTCACCGTGTTTCTTCAGGAGAGCTTTATAAACAGGAAAACTGTTAAAACTTTTATTTTTCCTGATTCTTAGGGTAAGAATTTATTTTTTCTATTGTGGAAAGGTTAAAAAATTGTAACTAGGAATTTCTCATGACCTGTAATCCCTTTGTCACAATCTTAACATGTCCCCCTGGGGCCAGCATCTAATGTCAAGGCCTGGCTGGTTCTGGGTGCAGGCATCACTTGCTGGGGATAGCTTCGGACTCAAATAGACTTTAGTTCCCAGGCGTGTGACCTTGGGTAAATGGCTTTACCTCTCTAAACAGCAGTCTTTTTATCTAAGAATAGAGGGATTTCATATCTGTAATCAGTAGTTATACTGTAAGAATTAAATAAAATAACGTCTATGAAGCGTAGTGTTGAACATGTAGTAGCCACTCAATAATTCTCGCCCTGACCACTTATTATCATCATAAGACAGCCTTTTGTCATTGTAAACTCTTAATAAATACCATTTTTTAAAGGCTGCAAAACGTCCTCTTGTATGAGTATTCTATAATAAAACATTCCCTCCTAAGGTGACACATCTAAGTAATCTTTAATTTTCCAGTTTTATAAATGAGATTGCCATCTTGGTGCTTAAATATCTGTTTCACTTTGGATCATTTCCTTAAGTGCAGCTTCTTTGAGGCAGAATTAAAAAGTGAAGAGATAGAACCTTCTAGAAAGGTGGTACCAAGATTGCACTAGCAATGAGAGAGAGAGAGAGACTTTTCTGACTTTCAAACTTTATGTTTTCTAGAAGCATCAGATGGTGAAGGAGGAGGAGACACAGAAGTGATGCAGCAGGAGACAGTTCCAGTTCCTGTACCCTCAGAGGAAACCAAACAGGTGAGGGGTCACTGTGGGAGAGCCACCGCTGTTAAATTCTGAAATCAGCCTTTTCCTCCTCTCTGTTGTTGAACTCCCCGTGTCCTAATATCGGTGGTTGGTGGAATTTAAGAGAGCCTTTTACTTTCTTTCCGTTTGAAAAGGCCATGGGCCATGCTTCCTTCATTGTAAACCAGCAAGGTCTGTTTTTTGCTCTAATTCTTTTTCCTCCCCCCCCTTTTTTTTTTTTTTTTTTTGAGACAGGAACTTGCTTTATCACCTGGGCTGTAGTACAGTGGCACAATCATGGCTCACTGCAACCTTGACCTTCTGGGCTCAAGCAATCCTCCCACCTCAGCCTCCCAAGTAGCTGGGACACCACAGGCATGCGCCACCACACCCAGCTAATTTTTTTGTTTTGTAGAGATGAGGTTTCTCCGTGTTGCCCAGGCTGGTCTCAAACTCCTGAGCTCAAGCAATCTACTTGCCTTGGCCTCCCAAAGTGCTGGGATTACAGGTGTGAGCCACTGCTCCTGGTTCCTAATGTTTTTTAACTATATAAATGTATTTCACAATAATGATATCTTAGATTCTTACATCACATTTTTGCCAAAAATTCAGCCTTATGCTTTTGGGTACAATTCCTAAAAGGAGACAAATAGCATAGATAGAGAAGATTATCACACACTCGAGTGCATGATTACAGCACCAGGCCATGCTGCCAGCAGGCTCCTGGGACCTTATTTCTACCCAGCATTATGGTCTGTCATATGCATTCTTAACAGGGGATCTGTGGTCTTTGCATTATCAGAATTGGCCATTTGGATAATCTTTTTTCCTAAACCTGTGACCTTTTACTGCCTTTTAAATCTTCCTACTGATGTGAGTAATGCTACTCACATCCATTTGTAGCTTTTTCTCCTTGGGTTTCCATCAAACCTGATTGGTATTTAGTTTGGTGCAAAAGTAGTTGTGGTTTTTGCCATTACTTTTAATTTAAAAAAATTACTTTTGCACCAACCTAATAAATCTGTGTGATTTGGGCTTTTTGGGGTTTTGTTTGTTTGTTTGTTTTTGAGATAGAGTCTTGCTCTGTTGCCCAGGCTAGGGGACAGTGGCACAATCATGGCTTACTGCAAGCTCAACCTCCCAAACTCAAGTGATCCTCCCACCTCAGTCTCCTGAGCAGCTGGGACCACACTAGCTAATTTCTTTATTTTTTTGTAGAGATGAGGTCTCACTATGTTACCCAGGCTGGTCTCGAACTTCTGGGCTCAAGTGATCCTCTTTCCCTTGGCCTCCTAAAGTGCTGGGATTACAGGCATGAGCCACAGTGCCTGGCTTATGTGTGAATTTTTAAAGGACTGTCTACTACCAGTCCAAAGTTACTGTATTTTTCATTGCAACAATTTGGGGTCTTATTCTTATTGTAGGTGCTTTAAACTCATTACACCAGAGTGTTATTCTACCCAAAGTTTGTGACCCAGCTCAGGATAACTGTAAGAAGCAATTTAGTGTAGTGTGGCTTAACTTGCCCACCCAAGTGGGCAAGTTAAATTTCTCTGTGACTCAGTCAATGGTAAATGGTAATAATTATGTCTTCCTCACAGAGTTGTAATGATGATTAAATGAGTTGGTATTTGATAAGCACTTCAAACTGGTTATCAAAGAGAATCACTGAAGTGTTAATTATTATAGTTATAGTTAATAATTATAATCTTTTTTATTTTGCCCATTATTTTTTCTTCCTGGGAAGGGATATGCAGAAAGGTATACGTGTTTAATATATAATCATCTTGGTTTTTTTCTCCAACCATTAAATATTTTGCTCAAAGGCCCTATACTGGTTTTAATTTTAATCATTCTTCTGGAAACCTACAGGGTAACACATCCTTAGCTTTTCAGTTTATTTCCTCAAGGTGGGGTTTAATTTTTCCGTAGCTTATCCCACTAATCATACCATAGCCATGCCCTCTTTGACTTTTGCCTCTAATCAATGTCTGCCTACAGGACTTATTTGCACGTATTCTTCTTTATACTCCATTGGCTTTCGTTTTTTCTTGGTTTCCCCTTGATTTTCTTCTTGTTTGTTCCTTGCTCTTTCTGGACCCATTGGTAAAACAAAAAAAGACCTTTTATTGAGCAGTTAATACTGTCACTGTATAAAGCACACTGTACCATATAATCCTGACAGCATCCCTAGGATTACAAGAGAGACAGGTTCTGGGGGTCACAGCCCATCTGGTTGGCTGTGAGCCAGGCTACGAGGATACTGTTGCTTTCCCTTCCCTTTTTACCTGTCCTTTCTCTTTCAGCTGAGGAAAATTGGATTAACTATGTTCTAATGTGTTTTGTTGGTCACATGCCATTGCTATTTTCTGCCAAGCAAAAAAAAATTACAAAATCTTAAGCTGTTACTGCCCATTTTAATCACCTTTCTCTTGCTTTAATTTCTTTCACCACCAAATTGCTTTGAAGAGTCCAAGTCCTTGGTAAGCAAAATGCCCTAACCCCTTTCTCCAACCCTATCCTAATTTCCCTGGCCAGAGAAATATCCTTTTTCTCTGAATTGACATGAGAATCTGCGTGTGCCCCTCTGCTTCATATGAGTGTTGCCCATCTTGGTCCCTGCTTATCCCCAGAAGGCTCACCTCAAGGACAGATTTTATCTGTGCGTCTCCAGAGCGCCTGGCATGGAACTTTGCCCTTAATTGGCACTCATTATTTGTGAATGAAGGAATGAATGACCATACCGGTATCCCAGTTTTCTCATGACTCTTCCCATCTCAGCCCTTTGTCCAGCTTGTGAGCCATCAGCTCCCTGACACAGCTGCCTGCAGAGGTCTTTTGGGGCCTTGTGATGCCCTATCCCTCCTCCAGCCACATCCCTGATTTCCCAAAACAATTCCCTCCTTGAAAGGCTCCTCCACCTTGACATTCAGGGCTGGAGTCTGTCCTCTCCATCCCTGCCTGCCCACACAGTCACCCAGCTCCCCTGTGGCCTCCTTCGTCCTCTCTCTGCCACTGCTCTTCTCCCTCTGGAACTTATCCCACCACCCCAAGGATGACTTACTTGTCAGGCATACTGTCTGTCCTTTCAGGAGTCCTTCTCTAATTGTTTACACTCAGAACTTGAGTCTCCAGCTGGTTCATAAGTCCCTTGGGCCAGGGTTTCTTTTGTGTCCACTATAGTACCTAACACAGTTTGGGGCTCTTATTTGGCAGATATGGCCAGATGTGTGTTTTCTAAATATAACTGCATTTTTTCTGGATCAATTTTTTAAAAATTTTATGCTGTATTTAAATTTTAGATTTGTTTCAGATTTGTTTAAGACTGTGCTGTTCTTTCAGTTTGTCTTTATGCTTGTACAGGAACCACTTGGCATGATGCTGTCAGCTGTAATACACATTTAGGCTTTAATATCACCAGGCAAGAGCATCTGTCAAGATAGATGATGTTCCCTCCTTTGCCGTAGCTGGGCCTCACATTTGTGTCACTGAATACATTATTGCCTCTAGTTTGTTCATATTTTAGGCAGCAGATTTATAACTTTAAAGTTTTTAAATCCATGCAACTACCTCATCTCTAGCAACCATTTCACATCTAAATAATCATCCTTGGCCTGCTTAATAATGTGAGTATAAAGATCTGCCAACAGTTCTTTTTTCCCTAGTAATCACTTCCAAAATAAATGATGAGTTCCCTACTCCTAGAGATTGCATCACCCTCTTCCCTCTTCAACATCAGTCATTTCAGAGCCAGCCCTAGTGACTTTGTAATTATGGTTCCCAGAATATAAACCCTTACAAAGGATTTTGTGACTTTTCCTTGATGCTTCCATGATGTCAGTAGCATTTCAGTGGTTCCATGACCCATCTTCTCCTGCTCAGAGACCACAGTGGACTTCTTTTTTCTTCGCTGTCCTTTTGTTTATCTCCTTTAATCATAAAGGAATCTTCAGCAAGAGTGTTTCTCCCTTTCCCTTCTTACTTTCCTTTCTCTACTGTTGTATTTTCTTGCTACTGCTTTATTTGAGCATTGGTCATTTCATATTTCTTCCACTCTTTATCTCCAAGATTATGCTTATCTATTGTTGAAAGAAAACAGGACTATGTCCTATTAATTCTCTGATTCACCTTTTTCCTTTTCATTATGTTTTCTCAGTTCTGTTCTTTGTATTAATCTATTGTTTCATTGACAAATTGCCCAAAACTTAGCAGCTTAAAATAAAACAAAAACATTTAGCATCTCTTATCAGGTACCAGCCAAGTTGTGGGCTGGGGCTGGAGGCTCATGGGGAGAGTTTACCTTGCAGCTCACTTGTGTAGTTATTGGCACGTCTCAATCTCTCACCATTTGAGCCTCTCCACAGGGTTGCCTCACAGCATTGCAGTTGCCTTTCCCCAGGCCGAGTGATCCAAGAGGGAACCAGCAAAAGCACCCAAGACAGAAACCACAATCTTTTTATAGTTTATTCTGAGTTAACACCTCATCACTTTTGCCATATTAAGCAAGTTAGTAAATCCAGGCCACATTCATGGGGAAGAGATTACAAAGAGATTACCAAGAGATCGAGATCTTGAGGAGCTATCCTGGAATCTGGCTACCACACTCTTCCTCTGGCCCCTCAATGACTTACATCCCTTCAATGTGCAGAATATCCTCACCCCTCCAAGGATTGCAAAGTCTCATCCCATTGCAGTGTGAGCTAAATATCCAAAATCTTGTCATCTAAATCAGGTCCAGGTGCAGTTGGGGCTCCTCAGTTTTAATTCCTTAAGTACAGCGCTTTGAGTACATTTCTTCTCAACCTATGAAACTAAAGAGACAAGTTACCTCTCCCACATGCTCAACACACAGTGGTGGGACAAGTGTAGGATAACCTTTATTAACATTTCTATTCAAAAGGCGGCAAATAGGAGGCACATGGAGTCATTGGTACACAGCATTCTGAAGGCCATCCAAGCAAGTATCAGTTTATTTATTAAGGGTCGAGGCCTAAGAGTAATTCTCCGTGGTT